TTTAAGTGAATTTTTATTGAAATATACTAAATGCTAGGAAGGAACTTATGTCCGTTATCACTGTTGTGCTAATATTAAAAATTCTGTCAACAGAATATACGTTCTTAACCATGTTAAGATGCTTTACTCTATGTTATCAATTACAATCCTATATGAGGGAAAAGAATTATTAACTTATTTTAAAATTCTGTAAATTTTGAATTATATTTTCCTAGATAATTTTACACAGAAGAATTGGAGCCTAAAGCAGAATTATAGTCTATTGTAAAGATGTCAATCTTCATAGCCAAATATATAGTCATAAATAAGTAAGTAAATTTCAACAGATTTCTACTGCAATTGAAAGTTACAGAAATTCAGTTTTTTTTCCCCCAAAGGTGGTATGATCAGATAAATAAGAATACTGGACACTACATTCCATGACTCAGACTCTAGTGCACATTATATCCCTGATAATTTTGTAATCCCAATCAAGTCACTGTTTCATGCTGGGCCTCAGTCTCCTCTTCTACTAAAATGAGGGGAGTGTTTAACACCTTGTAATTCTAAAATGTGATGATGCTAGTGATTTTAGGTACAGTCATTAAAATGCTGATGATAGTATATTTTATTTCAACATTGTGTATGTTTGAGTTAGATATTTTCACATATTAATCTATAAACATCATGACTAAATAAGACTAATACAGCTATAAATGGTATGCACGAATATGTGTGTTTATGTCTCTGTGTGTAGTTTTTGATATAAACCTTGTTCATGCTTTTCCACATATGAGATATGAAATTACTCAAAGATAGAAAGATAAGAAAAAATGATTTTGCTCTATTTATTGTACTAGATGATTTATTAAAGTATTTAAACTGATTTTGTGTTCTTATAGCTAAGTCATTAATTGGTTTAGGATAAGTTTTGGATAAGGTTCAAATAATCATGAGGACTTCCATATAAATTGGCAAATTCATTGCTGATCAAATCAATGGATGACATTTTCCTTATTTCATAGACATCCAGAGATCCAGATAATGTTGCTTTACTAGATGAGTAAAGACACAGCCTAACTTCCATCAGCTATTAGTCTTTTGCTTATGGTATCAGGCCAAATGTAACAGAAATTTCACCATACGCAGATTCATTGTGCCTTATGAAAACATCCTTGGTTATAGACAGGAGAAACACATTGTAAAAATTATGCTTACAGAATGAGCACTGGAAGCTATGGTTGGCATCACTATGTAGATGCATTTCCACTGAAGAATATATATATACACTCTCTCTATATATATACATATGTGTGTATATATACATACACACACACCCACACACACAAACATAAATGAATTGACATTTAGTTTTCTTATTGCTTAATACATGACAGCAAGTCAACCATTTGCTTCCAAAATTGAAGCAATTAAAAAGATAAGTTCTCCCATATTTTTTCACTAAGTATAAAATGAATATATTGAACATAATTTGATCATTAAAGAGAACATTATGAAGACAAACTGTGAAACTGTCACTGAAGTTAATGTAAATTATTTGTATTTCAGGATCAGCTGCAAATGGATTTTAAAATGGGTGTTTATTCAAGCTAAGTTCTTGCCAAAAATAAATTACCTTACTTTCCATTTACTAAATACAATAAAGTTTTTACTTGTAAGTGCATTATCTAAATAACAGCATATCAAGGATAAGCTCAATAGAATTCAAGAATAATAAGCAAAATAGTAACTGTACTTTTCATACTATTACTCTTTGGGGGGATTACATTATTTTAAAAGAAAACTGAAAAATGCTTAGCACATAGTAAAATACCGAAGACTTAAACAGAAAAATAGAATGCATTTGCCTTTACGTTATGAATGAAAAGCACACTTGTACTTCTAGTTCACAAAAGTTTAACAACCACCAAGACCAGGTTTACCAAGGAAGAATGAAACAGAAAAGTGGATACTTAATCTCAGTAATGCTGTCAATGATCCACATTTTGCTCAACTAAACACATTATTTAGTTGAGAGCAAAGGCTTTTGTTGGAAATGCAAAGGTATGAACTATGAAAATTTGGGCTACATCATCAGTGAGTTTTCTAAAGCGTGAATTTCAGAAATAATTCCAGCAGCTCTACCACACACATCTCCTAGAGTCTGCCAAAGAGTAACTATAGAAGCTTGATTTGAATGCCTCTCAAGTCTATGTAAACAAAACAAAAAGTAAGAGGTTAAGGGAGAGTATTATTTTCAAACTTCTATTTCTACAAAGCTGTTTAACCTATTATAATGAAAACAACAGGACTTAGGTACAACACTTTAAAATGTCTAATTTTCATAAAGATAACACTCTTAAGAAACATCACTTGAATTTTTTCACAAATAAAGAACTGCAATAAGGCAATTCAGGAAAACTATAAATAAAATGAAGGCTTTATGTAAAATGAAATCTCAATTTTTAAATTAGACCCTGCTATATGGAATTGAAAGAATACAATGGTCTAATTTTACCTTAGATAAATCCATTTATCAAAAGAAGGAAATTACTGCGAAACCTTGTATTCTTTTTTTTTTCTTTGATTAAATCAGGTTTAATCAAAGAAAATATATTTTGGTAGTTCCGTAAAAATTAAAGTGCATATATTTTAAAAATAAAAATAGGAAATTATCTACTTATGGCACAAACAAAAAGCAGAACAAAAAGGATTCTATTTATGTCAGATGTCAAAACGGAATGTAACTTTGTAAATGGATCCCTTGACCCTGACAGCAATATTGAGAAGATGAAGCATATCCATTACTATTACTAATTACATTAAGGGGAATGTGTTTCATTTGCCTTTATTTCATTTTAGGTCAGCTATTTACTTGTGATTAAAAGTGTATTCTTCTTCTGAATACCTAATGACAGAAAAGTTTTCCAAAGTCACTTTTGGCAAACTGTGTGATTCATTCCAATCGCTTTGAAGGTTTTCTCTTTTGGAATATGGACTGCTTTCCTCAGTTAAGAGGCTAACACCATATATTAGTTTATTTATAAGCATATCACTTTGCCTTTTAAATAGGATGCCAACAGTCTTGATATTAGCTGTTTTAAATATTCAAGAACATAGAGCTAACCTCATCTGATGAGCCAAATGAAGCTTAAGTGACAGCACAGAACATATGAACTGTTTGCATAAAATATCGGTAAAAGTGTCACTTGATATGTCCGCTCAAAAGCATAAGATTACACAATTCAGAATGCAAATGCTATCCAGCCACAGGACAGAAGTACCATTAAGATAAGAACCGAGAGGTAAACATTCTGCAGACAGAGCTCTTCACACTCCTTTGCATTACGTATTAACTATTTTCTAGAGAAATGTCTACAAATCTCAATTTATTTTGGGGTGTTTATAAGTAATCTGTAAAATGTGCTACCATTTTAGCTAGAATCTTCCTTGTTTACAAAACTGATAAAAGCACCAAAACAATACAAAACTCAGCTTCTAACTCCATGTAACACAATAATACAACAGATATAAACACTCCACTATGTTAAATGTTGGTTTAAAATAAATAAATAATTCAAATTCATATACACCAAAGGACATATTTTCAAAAGCCATTTAATGCAAATGTAGTTCGAACTGCTGTTTTCTTGGATTGCATTTGTTATTAGATATAAAAGCTTATTCAGACTGTTTCTCCTTATCTGAATAGCTATAGTAAAGTACTATATATAGAAAATATTTATTTAAAAAACTAATTTCAGTAGTCATGAAAGCAATAAAGGATAAATATCTCTTTCTGTAACATCTTCAATGAGGCTATAAAATAACTTTTTCCTTTGCCTCAGTTCTTCTCAGATTCCACATTCCACATGCAAAGCATATTTAATAGAAATTAGATTGACAGTCATAACTGTGTTTCTTGAGATGGGTTCTGACAGTAAGAAATACGTAATGTTTTATTAGCTGAGGTTGCTGTACCATGAGACACAGCCCTTTCCAAAAGATCTTATTTATGTGTGGCAAACTTTGGTGGGTATACAAAGTAAACTTTCTGAGGATTGTATATCACACAAGGAAAACTTTCAAAAATAAATTTCAGTTTTGCTTAAGTTCCACCTCAGAATATATGTATTTTTTACTGTTTCTACATTTCACTGAGAAACAATTATGTCAAATATTCCACATAATCTTTACATTCTCAATATATCATAATGCATGCCAAAATAGTCTTGCAGACAGTACATCAATCATGAATACTTTCATTACGTGGCTTAAATAATAAATGGCTCATGCGATGTATTTTTGTTTGTAAACTTTTAACACCAAAGAGGAAGTATGCAAATGGTGACTGCATATCATTATCGAATACTAATTGTTATAGGTATCGATTATTATAGATATAAAAGATTGAAAGTGGTGTTTGGCATGACATTTGCATATCAGTAAATATTTTTAAACCAGCATTTTCATCAAAGTAGTCAGTATTTCAATATCTCAGACTTAGTACTACGTCTGCATGATTCAGCATCTATTTATCTGTAAAATCCTACATTGTAAATAACAAAGCTAAAACTTTTATGGTATCCAATTTGCATAGACACCAGTAGTAACTTTAGAAACTTTTTCTCTGGATGCAATTATCCACTTAGTTGCCACAAAAGAAAAATAATTTCAGGTGAAAACTAACCATCTAAGTAATACATACATATTTATTCTGGAAACAAAAAAATGTAGTATGAATTAGGGATGTCAAGTGCAAAGAGAACTACAAAACACTGCCTACTCTGAATACTTCCTTCAGTAGTTCAGTGAACCTTAATTCTAACTTGCAAAATACAGTGGTATACCTCTTGTAGATGGCCTTTGCTAAATTAATGGTGCAAAAATTAACATTAAATTCCTACTGTTAAAATTTTAATAACTTGAAAAACAAGAAGACAAAACTTTACAGAAGATAATCTGTCTCAGAGTTATTAACCCTCCTAGGGATGTTTAAATATATTTGGGATACATCTTACCTGTTTGCTGTACTTGTTATTGGTTTGACAGCTGTACTCAGAGCAGTGATCTGATCCAATTGAAATGTTGTCTCCTGCTCCCACAAATGTGTTAGCTGGTGGTAGATCTTGTACGGCCTGGTGCTTTTTTCCTGCAGTTGGTGACTGGGGATGAAGCTGAACAGTAGGCAATGGGGAACTAGATTTGTAATGCCTTGCCAGGTCAGGACTGCCAGGCCCACCATTAACAGATCTGTACCGCCCCATGCTTGGGCTATCTGACAGCTTCTCATTGACACTATCATACCTCTGTCCATTTGGTTTAGAAGCTTCTACAGTGACAATGCTGCTGTAGAGAGGCTGCTTAGACTTTTTGTTTTTCTTGTCCTTTTTAGGCTTTTTAGATTTGTCATGCTGTTGGGGTGTAAAAAAGTCTTCGTGATCTTTTTTGCCAGCTTCATAGCCATTTTTAGTTTTGGACCTGCAGTACCTTGCCATCACTACAATTAAGATGATTAGAATCACCGTCATAATGCCAGCAACCACACCAATGACAATACTGAGTCTCTGTTTGCTAATTTCATAGCTTGGGTCGCCAGCTATATCCTGGGTGAGTGGGGTGTGCAAACTTCTAGCTATCTGGGAGTCAATCACAGTTGCATTAGAAACACTTTCATTGACAAACACATGCACCAGAGTCGTGGTGGACTGGGAAGGCTGCCCACTGTCATTCACTTGCACCACCAACCTGTGCAAGCCATAATGCTTTTGGGTGAGTTTTCCCACTAAGGAAACCACACCACTAGTGGGATCAATTTCAAACAGCTTGAAGGGATTCCCTCCCACAATGCTGTAGTTCAGGTCTGCATTGATGCCATCGTCACTGTCTGTTGCCAACACTGTAGCTACTACTGTCCTGACATTACTCGAAGGTGGCAGTAAAGTGTAGGAAATGTTTTTGGGAAGGGTAACTGTGGGAGCATTGTCATTTTCATCCATCACAAAAAGCGAGACTGTAGCTGTGGCAGACCTGGGAGGATCTCCCCCATCCACAGCCTTGACTCTGAAAGTGTATGTGGTCTGATGTTCCCGGTCAAAAGACATTGTGGAGTAAATTGTCCCCGTGTCATTTTCAATAGAAAAAATGTTATTGTTCTCCTCTATGTACAGACTCATCTCTGCATTCCGCCCCTTGTCAGCATCCATCACGGTGACCATCCCCACAGGGCTGTTGGGCTGCAAGTTTTCTTTCACATAAAAGGTGAAGACGTCCTGCATAAACTTAGGGTCATTGTCATTCTTATCAGCCACCTGCACAATCACTGTAGTGCTGCCCTGCAGCACGGGGATGCCTTTGTCTTTGGCGTTAACTTTAAACTCATACCTGTCAGTCTGCTCGCGGTCCAGCACCGTATTGACCAGGATGTCCCCAGAATCGGGATCGATGGCAAAGATCCCCATCACAGAGGAGTCCAGCGAGTAGGCGATCTCAGCGTTCTTTCCGCTGTCTGCGTCTGTCGCCAGCACTGTGGCCACCCTCTCGCCCGGGATGTTGTTCTCAGGGAAGTAAACCTCCACCACCGACTGGCCGAACACAGGCGGGTTGTCGTTCGTGTCTCCCACCTTCACAATCAGGGAGTTGTTGCTCGAGAGGCTGGGGCTGCCTGAGTCCACCGCCACGATGACCACGTTGAACTCCCGGGTGGTCTCATAGTCCAGAGGGGTCGAGGTGTGCAAAAAGTACTTTTTCTTGTTCTGGTCGCCCTCGGTGTCGCTGGCTGGCTTGAGCTGGAAGGGCACGTCGCCCACCACGGTGCAGGTGACCACCCCGTTCTCGCCTTGGTCTCGGTCGGACACCTGCACCAGAGCGATGGGGGTGTCGACCAGAACGTCCTCGGCCACGTTGGCCACCCCGTCCTTGAGGGGGATGCGCCCAATCTTGCGGATTTCAATGGATGGCACATTGTCATTCTCATCTTTGATGTTAAGGACCACGGTGGCCTTGTCGGTCTTGGGGGGCTGCCCACGGTCGCGGGCCATGACCGTGAAGCGCAGCTGGTTCACCTCCTCGCGGTCGATCCGGTGCAGGACGCTGAGCCAGCCGGACGTCTCGTCAAGGCGCAGCAGTCGCCTCACCGACTCGGTGGCCGCCCCGAACACGTACTCGATCTGCCCATTGACCCCCACGTCCAAGTCAGCTGCGCGCAGTTGCAGGATGGGGGTCCCCGGGGCGCTGTTCTCAGCTAAGTCGGCCTCGTACACGCTCTTCTCGAAGCGGGGGCTGTTGTCGTTCACGTCGGTGATGAGGACCCGTAGGATGGCCTGCGAGGAGCGAGGCGGGTCGCCGCCGTCGCGCACCCGCAGGGTCAGCTCGTAGGAGTCGCGCTGCT